TGCAAAGTGAATGGTGAAGAGAAGTCAAAGTCCCAAGTGCCAGTACAGCATAGGTAATGAGTTTGCCAGTTAAGATTGTGAAGAACTGTCAGTGACCTCAAATACTGTAATGCTCAGTCTCAGCCAAGTTGCAGTGCCATGGTGTATGAAATGAAATAAACATAGTGTGGAATTTCCATTCACACTCAATTTGTTTTCAACAAATAGTACAACTGCATTATCTCTGCCTTACTTTAAAACCTGAAGTACAAAAACACCAAAGTATCAGACATTACAAATTAGTATTTTGCCCAACATCTTTCTAGAGGCTCAAAAATGTAGAAGTAGAAAAGTGCAGATGCTATAACTGATCTATGCCTGCTACAAGAAAGAACATCCTAATTAAATGAAGTTTTTAATTCCATGAAAACCGGAATGTCATTCATGCTTTAGCTAAGCTTCCAAACAGAAGTGTTTGGGTATCATGGGAGCGCAGTGCATGAGTCAGAAAAGGCAGCCATCACTATGACCACCTCAGCTCCACCAGACATCTCTGCATACCCTTCGGGCTAACAAGAAGCAACTTACAAATATGTATCGCTTTGACCTGCCCCCAGAAGCCAGTGCAGTGGTATCAATGGGCAAACATATAAAAGATAAAAAGAATATATAAAATAGAAAACCACAGAGGGTGGAAGCAGGTTGTGAATAGAGACACTAGATTTGCATGGGTCAAAGAATATTCAGAACTACCACAATTGAATACGTACTGTTTTTTTCAAATTTCCAAATGCATTAAAATACATGATGATTCATGAACTGTGTGAAGTTCAAGCTAGTGGGGATTTGGGAGAACATCCCTAGGGACAGGTCATCCTCTGGTTCAGACTGGGTGAAGAGACCATTTGTGGCACAGATAATTTCTGCCAATGAGGAGCTGGCAAATGTGAAGACTTCTCCAGTTGGTTTTGATATGTTTTATACATCTTCACAAAAGAAAGTATCAGATCTCAGCACTTTACAACTCCTGAAATTAGTAAAGCGTGTTTTGATAACATAAGATCAGATAACTTTGCATAAAGGGATTGTGAAAGGAAAAGAAAAAACACCTGATAACAAGACAGGCTTGTAGAGCATACTTTAGCACAAGATTCTAGGAGCCACCTGGAGGAAAATGAGGGTTTAAAATCTCAAATATAAATTTGAATAGTGATGCATAGTCAGATGGGTAAGGGGTGAGTGAAAAGCAGTTTATAAATAGTATGACACTGCTTGACTATCCCTACTGTATATAGGGTAGCATGATGATAATTATTTTAAAAATTATTGATGCTGCTGATTAGGGAAAAAAGTTTAAAACTTCCTTTTGCTTTGGTGTTTGCATTCTGTAGAGGCAAAGCAAGTGTACTTTGGGATCTCTACTCACTTTTTAGATATATAAGCTTGATAATGAACCAAGACTTTTTAGAATATTCTTGCAGAGTAAGTAAAGAAATACAATAATCAAGAGAGCAAAGTAAGAAAATGGAGCTGTTTCAACATAATTGAGAAAGGTCACCAACTCTCTCAGAATATCTGTGTACATATTTCTACTGCCAGAATCCTGAAGGCTATTTATTGTTTAGGTTACACAGATCCACAGTTTTAGATCCTGGGAACTCTCAGGCCTTTCCTACTTTTTTTAGCTTTAGAACAGTGTCAGACTGATTTGCAGTTTACTTTTGTTGAAAGTGTGTTATGCAGGAGTAGGAAAAAGTGCTTCATGCACCATGGCCCCTGCCCTCAGATCTTCAGATCAGACATCTCTCACTGCCTATACTAGTCAGAAGTAATAAACTTGATCACAATTTTACACTGAAAAATCCAAACATATATTATAATGTATTTTGTTGCCTGTTCAGAGGCTGACAGTGATTGGGGTCTATTCTACAAAGCTTTCTCCAGACTACCCATTGGCTCCTGTCTGGCTATCGCTTCTGACTTTTTGGTCCTTCTCATATGGAGTCTAATCTTGTATTATTGCAATTAACAGAGACTGGTCTCTGAAAAGCCAGCTTTCAGAGCTGTGAGGAGAGTTAATGGGGCTGAGCTGTTTGTCTGCCATCAGAATGATGCTTTCTACTGTGTTTCTGACTTAATTTTCCTCAAAACAGATGAAATATTACACCAGTGTACTTCCTAAAAGTAATTCAGTGTCATTGGTCCTGCATTGTTCTTATTCTGCAACCTATTACGTGTGCCTGTGTTCATAAATAATATATCCACTAGAGCATACAGCTAAAATTTTTGTGTGTGCGTGGGTTTAAAGCAAATACAGCAACATATAAAATACAAATTAAATTGATGCCCACTGTACTTGTAACACAGCCAAATTCTTAATATTTTATAGTGCATATTTCATTAAATAAATAATAATTAATTGATCTATGCTACAATATGTGTGTACATACACATTTTATGATGCCTGTAAATAACATTTTAAAGCCTGTTCACACATCAAAAGACAGGTTGTTTATTTCTCTGTTAGAACAATCCAAGGACTTAACTCTTCCTATTATGTAAACAGTGGTGACAGACGCTTTCAAGGAAGCTTAACTTCAATAAAAATAATAGTTTCCCATTTTAAAATCAATACTAATATACCATAAATCCCCCGATGAACTCTGGCTTCCTTACATGCTCTCACATTTTGTGTGTTAGGGGCACAGCACTACTCTAGATATCAGAATATAATAATATGGCGATATATATAGATATAGATATATATATAAATGGTAAAACAGTTTTAGGTCAACTTGAGTAATGAATATATTTCAAATATATGCTTCTTTCTATAAATAAAGGTAATTAATTTTCTTTGCAACATGGGTGCCTCTGTATGTGGCTAACAAACCAGCAAAGCAATTCTGGTATCTTTAGTTCAAAATGCAATTGTGACATAGATAAAGTTTTAAGTTTTTTTCTTTTTTGTACTAAAATTGTACTTGCAGTAGAGTTTCAATAAAATTTATGAGATTACTTTAGGGTAGACATTTTAAACAACTCATACAAAAGAGAATTTGTTTTAGTGATAAGAAAGCTAGGTATAATCTATTCATTTCTCAAGCAGACCTTTATGAATCACTTTAAAAGGACACTACAGCTGAAGACTGAAGAGCAATATTTATCAACATTAAATAAAACATTCGGTGAAATATGTATAAATATTTCTTTATATGAACATAACACAAAATTAAATAGTTCAGATACACAGACACCATTTAATATATTTCCACTGTTGTCAAAATCATCTGTAAACACCATCTCACACTGAATACAAAAGCAGCTTTAACATCAGTTCTGCGTTCACAACACTGATGCCCCTTTGTAAAATAAGATACTTGCTTTATTTTCAGCAAAATAAGAGTCTAAGCAATTAAAAAAAAAAAAAAAGTTTTGGTCAGCTCAAAGGAGAATACAAAATAATCTTTCAACATGTAACTAAATCAAATTTAAAACAACAGTTTAAAGTACAATCCTTTCCCCAGGGGACCTCTGACTTTTACAAATCATGTTTGGTGCAGACCACCTCACAAATACCAGGAAATACTGGTCATGTCTAAACTATAAATATTAAAGCCCTTTTAAAATTGTCTTTATCAAAAATTGCCATGTTACAAATTGGCAATATCACATTTTTCACACCACTGAATAACCTGGTGTCAAACGGATTTAGGTGCACTTCTCCTGATGATTTTTAAAACAGGTTGTGGAAAACACGTTTTAGTGAGCATCCTTCACATGCAAAAATAAAGCATTTCTTTGAAACAAATCATTTGCATCTGAAGATCACCTGGGCAGACAGTGCAAGCAGCGGGGCTCCACCAACTTTTGTCAGAAAATTCCAACTTGAACTTTCATCGGAAGCCGTAGTGATACTGCACACAGGATCTGAACTGGCTCTGAGAAAGGTGGTGCATCCCCACGGTGCAGCTCAGGACAAGGTGTTGCAGGAGCCATGTGTGCTTCGACAGCAGCACAGCCCCCCCAGCAGGACATGGGGCTGCTGCTGATGGTGGCACCTACCTGGCTCCTGAGCACTGGTACAGCAGCCCAGATCTGGGTTCTCATCATCCTATGCCCTGCCAAGACATCTTCACGCTCTTCCCTGAATGTGGCCTTCAATTCCTTTCCCCTTTGTATCTTTTAAAGAGGCATGATCACTTTGAGAAGAGATTCTGTGCTCAAGATTAAGGTTTTACTGTGCAAGTACCCAATTATAAAACTCTGTAAACTTACAGGCTATGTTTTGGTTTTCTTAGTTTGAAATGTGGACACCGTGTTTTGGTTCCAGAGATAAACTTGAATTTCAGGTGGCAAATAATGAGCTATATACTTATAACATGATTTTCGGACATTTAAAAAGTTTCAATCACATGTAATCATGATGGAGGGCCCTGTAAAACCTAGAACAATAGGTCACCTCTTTCCTGGTATGTGTGTATGTCAGAGGTGTGAATGTATGCTATGCATGCATACACACTCACACACACACATATAACACCAGATGCACACATAGATACTCAGAAATCAGGAATCACGGGTACAGTTAACAATATATCAGAAGAGAAGTAGACAGGAAGCTCTACCAGGACAACAAGAGGTAATTTTTCAACCTATACAGTGTGTCAAATAATTTAATAATCCTGTTTCACTAGCTTTGATACATCTGTATGTAACTTGAATTGAAAGTTGGATTCCTTGGAAAAAGAAGAGTTGGGCTAGCTAGATGTGCTTACCTGAGATCCCAGAGTTGATTATAATCAAAGAGCTGGGCAGATCAGTAATGGGTTTATAATTGCTATACAGCTTCTCACAAATTCGTAGGAAAACTTTATTAAATCTTTCACTCCTTAATAAAAATGTTGAAGTTTCTTAGTTTTTGCTGAATGTGGATTGACTTTTATATTAAACTGGATTTATTGAAAGGATAAATAAGCCTGGCAGCTGCTTTCATGTCTTGGTGTTTAAATCATAGAATCAGCACCCTGAAACCACCTTCCCTCCCCAGCCCATCCTGTCTCATCCCTTACTATCTTGCCCATCCTGCCCTGTCCCATGTCATCCTGTTCTGTCCTATCCCATCCCATCCTGTGCCATCCCATCACATCCCTGCCTTGTTATTTTTTAATTTGTTTAAAAAATACTATTCTATGAAGCCTCCCTAGGGATCCGCTTATGAAAAATGACAGACTGCCTTTGCTGATACTGCTGTTTGCGTCGCTTTCGCTTGTCACACTGGCACAGCAGCAGCATCTTGAAAGTGTTTCTGAATGTTTTGTTACACAGTGCATAGCACATGGGGTTCACTGTGCTATTAATGTAGCAAAGCCAATACCCCAGGTGCCAGAAAGTTTTGGGGATGCAGCTGCAAAAGGTGTTCACCAAAACCATGATGTTGTATGGGGTCCAGGTAATGATGAAGGCAAACAAAATGGCACTGAGTGTCTGTGCTGCTTTCTTTTCTTTGATAAGTGACATTCGTTTTCGTTTTGTGATCTGACTTCTGGTCTTCAAGGCAAACTTTTTTGCCAGGGTTGCTTCCTTAAAGGACAAGGGCAGGGCTGTCGATGTCTTGGTGACTGATGAGATGCCATCAGAAGCTGTGGTTGTCTCTTCTGATTCTGGTTCAATTGGAAGCTTAGTAAAGCTCTTTTGGAAATTTCCACCATCCTGAACACCTTTGGGAGGGTGCAATTTTTTAGGTTTCTTTTCCTTCGATTCTGTGTCGGATTTCTGCAGTTCATCCCCTGACTCATGCAAATCTTCTGAGGAGGGTAGTTTTGTGGAATTGAGGATAGCACTGTGACCAGGAAGCTTCAACACGATTGAATAGATGGCTCTGGTCTCTGCAGCAATGTCTTCTTCATCAGAGGAGGCTGAATTTTCAAGGGAGGCAGCAGCATCATTGTTGTTCCAGCTGTCACTGCTGCTATGCTCTTGGTCCCCCTGATCTGTGCTGGGTTCCCAGCTCTTCATTGTGAGCCAGAAGTGGCAGCGTCTGTATTTCTTTCGGGTGGAGCGTTTCATGTTCTGCCGCTGCAGCTCGTAGCTGCTGCAGCTCCGGGAGCTGCCTGTCTGGTGCACAAAGCGCGCTGCCTCTGCTTCGCTGCCCGAAGCCTGTAGCCCTGCCAGCTCTTTGGTGCGTTTCTCCGTCTCCTTGTAGATCCTCCAATACAAAATACTCATAATGGTGACCGGCAAATAAAAGGCAGCTATGGCAGTGCCAAAAGTGATGATAGGTTCAGATAGAAATTGGATGAAACATTCATCAGGAGGCACAGTCCTCTCCCCAACAAAATACTGCCAAAACAAGATGGCAGGGGCCCAAAGAACAAAAGAGACAATCCATGCTAAACCAATCATTACCCCAGCTCTTTTGGTTGTTCGTTTGGCTCTGTATGTCAGTGGCCTGGTGATGGAAAAATACCTGTCAAAACTTATCACAAGGAGGTTCATGACAGAGGCATTACTGGCGACATAGTCAATGGAGAGCCAAAGATCACAGGCCAAGCTTCCCAAAGCCCAGTGGTCCATGATGATGTATGTGGTATAAAGATTCATGGAAAGAACACCGATGATCAAATCTGCACAAGCAAGGCTCAACAAGAAGTAGTTGTTGACTGTTTTCAGTTGTTTGTTAACCTTAAATGCAACAATCACTAAGATGTTTCCTATGATGGTCACCAGTGCAAGGATCCCAGTGAGGAAAGCAATCAAAACTACTTGCCAGATAGTGTGTCCACCCAGAGGGTCTTTGCTTGTGGCATTTAGGGTCATGTTTGTTGATTCCACAGTGGAGAAAGGAAAACTCTCTGTGGTCTGAGGGAAATCATAGCTGCCAATGAGTGATGCTGCTTCATCAAGGAGTCCCGGTCCATGCGAATCTCGCTTCCAGAAGGAGCTCACATTTGGTAAAAGCAGCGAGGATGAACTGTTATTATGCATGATCATTGTGGCTCTCTGACATAGTCTGTAGCAGAGAAAAACCAAACAAAAATCAAGTGAACAGGTGAAGAAGTTAAATAATCGTCCTCTTGTACATAAAATCCCTTTAGCACTTTGAAAGATGTCTTTTGAAAAGCCAAGCTGCCTGTGATACCTTTCAAGCCAAACCTGTATGTGATATCCAGACTGTGATTAATCTGAACTCTTTATAGTGATCACATTGTGTTTCCTTATAAACATTCTATTACAGAGGAACCAAAATCCCAGTAGAATTTGAACGCACAGCAGTATTAAAATGCCCCTGAACTCTAACTCTGAATTAAAACACGCCCTGCAGGATCTGCCCTGAGCTCAAAATCTGAAAAATCCTGCAGCCTTCAAAAATTAAGTTCCAATCATATGAAGGCACAAATCTCCAAGTTCCAATCAACACTGGTCCTCAGTGCTATCCTGGCTCTAGCAAAACAGAGCCACAGCCTCTCTGCTGCCTCCAGCGATAGCTGATGACAAACAAAAATATTGTTCTGTGTTTCCTTAAACTATGGAGATACAAGCCAGCATAATTTCACTGTGTCTAACTACTCTAACCTGTAAGGCTGCAAAACTCTTCCCATTTTCATCTACCTTTCAGCTATCTGATAAAAGTAGTAAAAGTTCTCATTAGCACTTTTTGCACGTGCCACTATTCATTTTTTTCATGCATATTTTTATGCTTGGACTAAGGGTTTTGCACATCTAATGATTTCAAAATTTCTTCGGGGGCAACACATGGTAAAAGTTCCTTTGAAATTATGGTCTCTAGAGTCAGGGAAAAAACCTTTGACAGATGTATGTCAAAGAAATCACTAAACACTTTAGGAAAATAGCATAAAAAAGCATGAAAGGAATTAATAATTAAGCTTTAATCCTTTTCCTCAAGTACTAACATAAAATGAAAACATGCTCACACTAGGAACTTGCAATTCTCTTATTTCTTGGCTTCTCTAGTCAGCTGACTGGATCCTTAGTAATAAATGAATTATATCATAAAGAAGAAAAAATTCAAATGAAAAAGTCCATCATTGACTGTAAATGTTGAGCAAAATATGCTGTCAATGGTTGTTTGTTTTCTAAATGTGAGTCCTTCCAGAGTCAATATATAATGGCATGAGATAATAATGAGTATCACAATACACTGATTTTACATAAAAATATTTAACCAAAAGAGGAGGGTTTGGTTATGTTTTTTTAATTAATTTCTAAATTCTGCTTTCCCTTGAACTGTACTTGGTTTTGTTATGAAGACATAAGACAGTGTGGGATTTTAAATGGTACAGTTTCTTTGACATATGCAGTAAATAGATCAGCAATTCCTTTCTTTCACTCATTTGGATAACTAACACAAACCTCTCCCCTATTTCAATATCTAGTTTAAATGAGGTTTTATTAGGTTACAATGAAGATGCCATATTATTATCTAATTCAGTCCACTTTTAATGCATTCATCATTGTATAACTCAGAATATGAACAGACTAATAATGAATAAATATTGCTCTGGTAAATCACACAGTTAAATTTTAAGTCTTTTGCCTGATAGAATGATTGAAAACTCAGAGCAGCTCAACTTCTGAAAAAAAAAATGGTAAGACAGAACTGCTAGAAACCATCCTTCTTACAATGTTTTATTTAGGAAGCAGGCATTTTTTCCAGAGCTGTCAGACAGGATGAGGTCAAAACCAGAATAGTATGAGCAAGATCTCAAATAATGATATTTGCTAAATATATGCCAGAAATTATTAATGTTATAGGGTGCAGACCTTTCTTCACTCACACTGGGGACAGAGAGCAGAAGATTAAAGCCAGAAAGCATCCGCTCTGCAGCCATAAATTTCTAAAACCTCTGTAGGGCAACAGCCAATCCAGTCACGTACTGTTTGAGAACTCTGACAGGTACACTTAGATGGCAATGATATCATTATGCTGCTTTTTCATAAAAAAAAAGAGAAGCTAGTATCTTCTAACACACAAGAAAAGATCAGGAAGAACATATCAACAAAGGAGATGAAACTTCCACTAATATGGATAGAAAAAAATTAACTTAGAAGTGATGGCAAAAAATAACCATATTACTAAGAAATAGAAATAGTTAACAGATAGGTAATAGTTCCCATTTTCATTGTATAACACAACCATGAGCTAATCTGAGTGCTAGCCTTGGAAGTCCAAAACAAATACCATAAGAGATAAGAGATACAAATAATCTTGCAAAATCAATATGTAAATGCCACACTATCTATCAGTAAATCCATAAACCAATTGTGAATTATGTTTAACTGTAGACTTTGAAATGGACTTCCAATGGAAATGCAATGATAAATCCTTTCAGAAATGCTATGATTCAAAAGATTCGTGATGAGGAGTCCTGGGATCATCACAATCCAGCTGCAGTCTTTCAGGCAATGAAGAAGCGTTGGAACCAAACCTTTCTTTCTCAGATCAGTTCTTTCACGTCTGCACCTCAAAGTAGCTTCTCTAAATCATTGTTTCAGTGAAAACCTGAAAAGTCCTTAGCAGTCCAGTACCTGAGGAAAAGGAGAAACTGAGAACAACCCACCATCTGTCTCCTGCTGTCCAGTGCAATCCTGTGTCTTAATTCGTTTTTTTAAACTCTGCAGGGAATAGAGGGAACCCTAAACTCACACTGACTGCACTATTTGATAAAATGGAAGTGCCAGTGGGATGATTAGTACAGTCTTTTGTTATTCTGCCTCTTCTACAAGCTCCTGTAACTGAACCATTTAATTCAATTAAAAAATGTATAAACCATACGTTCATCTGCACATAAAAAAGAAAATGTCACTACCACTACCACCACCACTACAACATACCAGATCAGCACAACTGGATTTTCTTGCCTTTAGGAAACCAAGGCAAGCTACATTATCCATCATTTTCCAAAGCTGCCACGCAGTTTCTGCTTTCTGTATAAGTGCTGCAGGGAAAGAGTGTCCTGGGTTTGACAAGATGACAGCGGGATTCACAGTGCAGCCGCCAGCACCTGCCCAGCAAGCCAAGCTCTGACAGAATGATGTGTGACCAAGTGGGAAAGCAGCCACACATACTTCAGTAAAACAAACACTGCAGCACTGCCTGAGTGAGGCAAACATACCAAACTGTGAAATGATTATAGGTTTACATACCATGATAAGAATTTACAAATCATTGGTATGATACATTACATTACAATTTCAAGGCAGGGAGTAGCAAAGGAAACTTCTTTTAGCCTAAGAATATATAATTACTAAACTAAGATCACAGTAATGGTATTCCCTGTGGGTTTGAGTCTTTTTGTTCTTTTTGCTTTTTAATGAAAGGTGCAGGCCAGAGATCATCAGACACAGTGTACACTTCCCAGGATTATTCAGGAAAAGTGTAGGCCCAGTACAGGCTATGGCTATTTAGACTTTCATACACATCCATCCAGCACATCCCTGCTCTCTGCCCAGCCACAGAGAGTGAGATATTTGATATCCCTCTAAGACTGACTGGAAGGGTAGGAGAAAGCATCTACAAAAATGTTAAATGATTTCAATAAATGGGTATAACCCAGATTTAAAAGCCTGAAATTTTGACTAGTCTAATTTATTGCACATTGCTGTAAATAGAAAGCAAAGTAGAATAAACAGTAGTAACAGTTCTGTCACACATTTTCAGTGCATTTAATTTCTCTCTGCTTATTTCAGATTTAAATGCTTTTGTGAATACTCCACATTTTACCAAAATTTTTCTTTTCCTTAAACCCTCCTATTCAAGAAGTCTATTTTTCTTGCTGTCTTTAAAGGGTGCTAAGAAGCATTTTATGGAAGTGAGATGGCAATCTAAGGGCTTGGCTATCTGTGTGCTCAAAACTAGCAAGCCTTAACGGATGAAGAATTTCACATTGCATCTGTTTACACAGACAAGAAAATTGCTTACCTTATTTTTCCATTTTCTTCTGCACTGCTCTTATATACACATTAGCCTAAACAGCAGAGAGCTCCATGCACTGATTTATAAAACTCTTTTCAAACACAGAGAAAGGAAGCCTTCAGAATGCTTAATACAGTTACCTAAACCGGCACATATACTTTGTTCCAAAACTATTACTTGGTAAATATACATTTGAATTACAAGGTTTTCCTAATATTATTAGCAAGATTATATATAACAATTTTTCAAAACACACAGAGTTGTTTTTTTTCCCTCAAAATACAGTGTATTTTTTCAAAATACAGTAAAGAATTTTAAAAGCTTGTAGTAAAAGATGAAAGCATTCACAGTTCTATATTTATAGTAGCTCATACCAATTGAAGTTAGTGTAGCACAAAGTACAGGATTCCATATGAATGTTTATGTTGCAACAGGAAGCGTGGTGTAATTATCAGTGAACACGACCTCAGATTTACCATGACTAAATTACACTTATATTAAATACATTACACTCAATATATTTTAGCTTTGAAGAATGAGAATACAGAACCATAGAAATAAGCACACCAGAAAAAATCCTGGCCACTGTCTTGCACATTCACAATAAATAAAACCAGATTGTCATATACTTATGTATATATGTACATATACACATATCACGTACAAATGTATATTACACATAGTGTGACGAGTACATGTATATAGAGCTGCAGATGAAAGTATATGTGTATATACATACTTATGTCTATACACACACATATATCTGCAGCTATATATACACATAATTTTGTCACATTATTCCAAATATTGTTATAAGGGAAGACTATCTCTTTCACTAATTAGCTATCAGCTTGATACAGATAATGTTCAGTCAAACATATCCCAGTAACGCTTCAACCCAAACACTTCTATTTTGCATCCATAAATATATTTTGTTTTCTAAATTCACCCAAATTAAATGCCAGTGCTTTAAAATCACTTTTGTGATTAATGAATTACATTTGCTCATTATTTGCTTACTCTATTTGTGCTGCTAGTGTGAAGTTTAGCATGGGTAAATTAGGAAGTCATTTCTC